AAAACGTAGTTTTATTTGAGAACCTGCGTTATTCTCTGTTACAAACATTGTAGCCTTTCAACCGGAGAAATACATACTGCAAACGGTATTAGTAAATATGGGACAATTCTGTATTTTCCCACAGTGAGTTATTGTTAAGATCCCTCCCCCTTTTTGTAATAAGCCCCCCGGCTGGGAGCCCTAGAAAAAAGTCCCACTGGAATTTTCAGAGGGTTTACTGTAAATGGATTTCGTAGCGAATTTCTCATCTCAGGTAAACTGCAATTAAAGAAATTCCAAACAAAGAGACGTCAGTTCATGATTGTGAAATCTGCCATCATACATTACAGTACTCGTACACAAACTTAACTCATCTCTTCAACGATGGCCATAACCTATCTATTATTTCATAGCTTTCTTCTTTGATTTAATGATGGTAGATCGACTTCTTACGGCTTCTCAATATAAAGGATAGCCAACTCTGTGAATCACCAGGATGCCAGGACGCCCCTAACAAAGCCGGAAAAACCAGACAATTTAATTGAAGATACTTTTTTGGCTACAAGTATTGCAGAATAGACTTAGCAGAAGCGTTCTGGGAACCGTTGTCTGAGAAAGTGCCTCAAAGCAATACAAATGATCAGAATAAGTTAGTTTTGTACCTCAAAACAACCGTTAACGGTGATTACAATTTGTCACGCGATCATACATTGCCAAACTCTTCTTTGAGACTCATTTATGATCTAAAAGTTCGCATGCCGAGTTATTACAACTCTTGATAAATTTTTCCCATTGAACTAAGTTGACTTTCGTCAGCCAGTTGACACAGACGGACTATCGCGCACTAGAAACCCTTGGCCAGTGTTCACGGCGCATTAAAACGAAACGGCACATTTCCGAATCTAATTCGTTTTATTTAACAAAATAGCTGACAAAAAAACACAACAACAACAAAAGTACAAATATTTTGTTAAAAATTAATTTTAAAGCAGCCAATTTGTACAAATGAACTAAGCAAGAACTTCAAGGTTTCCTATGTGATAAAAACTCGACATAACTTTACACCATATATTATCGATTATTGTCTTCTTGCATGGACCGGAAATGGGCAAGAAGCGAATTGATAGTGATATCTCAAACTTGAAAATGTTTTGAATAAAAAAATATCGTCACCAATTAGAATGTAGGTGGCTTAACCGTGTATCAGTTATATCACTATGTCATTTTGTCGATTGCAAGCGGAATAAAATAGAGAGGGCGAATAAAAAGAGAAGAATGTGTCCCCTGCTCTGCCCATTATAGTAAAGTGACCGGCATTAAACTGGCCATGTATCCCTTAAAATGATCAAATCAAGTCATTTACGTGCTACTGGATATAAATAACGTACACTACATGCAAAATGTTACACAGTACCTGACTGACATTTATAACAACAAGAAAATTGAAAATATCGGTTACAATAAGACGCTGTACTCCACGCCTTTGCCTTGAAAATTTTCGTTTGAAGTACTGCGTCTGTTAATTTGCTGGTTACGTATGTGGGTTTGTTGTTTGCTTTTCTGACAGTCTGCCGACTCAGTGTCCTGTATAAGTCTGTCTTTCTCTGCCTGTCTGTTTGTCAGACGGTCGTTTGGTCGGTCGGTTAGTCAGTCGGTCAACCAGTAGGTCAGTCAGTCGGTCAGTCAGACTATTTAAAAAAATGAGAACCGTAGTATCATTTTTATTCCACCTCATTAGTTCACTTCTTTCTTACTGCATTAAACTAGACATTATTTGCAGTTTACAGAGTCTAATAAATTACTGATAAATTGCTGATGCACAGCTAGTTTACGAGATACGTAGTTGCTGAGTAGAGTTTCAACTCAAAGCATAACTTTGTTGTTATTCATTTACATTCCCTTTCTTTTGTGCTAAAGTGGAAGTAGGAAAGTTCCAAGAGTAAAGACGAACGCGGGCTTTTAGCCACCATGTTAATTCATATCACTTCCTGATTGTTTTTAATTAATAAATAACTTATTAAACTATAAAGTTGATCTCCACGGGGAAGAAAATTGCTGCTAAAAGAGGGGAATCTTGACGGTTACTTGCAGGTGTGCCGGTCATAAATCAGAGGGCACTTTTCACAGGTCACAACACAACACCATACAAACTTGCAGTTGCACCGTTTGACTTCTCGTACCTCCTGAGTGTTGTACCCTCCCCCGCAGCACAGCATATCACATCGGTCTCCTCCTGAAGACGTCTTGTTACACACCCGGCCAGACGTGCCTAAGATGCCCAGAGTCGGATTAGGATTACAATAGTTTGGTGACCGGTCGATGTACACCAACGTATCTCTGGTAATCTTTAGTCGTTTCTGCTCCTTTCGCCTTATGCGTCGCTTTCGTCTGTTGTAAACTACTTGTACCGCATTCGCGTACCTAGCTTTTAAAAATTCTCCGACTTTTTCGAAGTTCGGCACAGTTTTCCAGCATGTTTGCATGGTGCAAGAGCCAGAGACTCCATGGCAACGACAGCGATCACTTACAAGGGTTTGAACGGCCTGCAAATAACAATATTAAAAATGTTTAAATGAGCAGTGGAGATTTATCCTCTATTTGTTTATTTTGCCATTTTCTAATTATAATAAATCAATAGAAATAGAAGAAATTACATATACATTAATATAATACAATATAACTGAAAATTTAACATGTGGCGAGGAAATCCTTTGAGAAACCAAGAGGCTTATGTGCTACAGGCTCCTAAACTTTTACAAACGTGGGGTATTAGGGCGTAATTAAGGTAAAAATATTGTAGGTTAAAAGGGAAAAAACACAAAGAACATCACATAAAACAACAACAATAGCAGGCACTCAAATAAACATCTAATAGAACAGCTCGATTGAATAGGAAAAAAAAACAAGAAGGGAGTCAGCTTAGGAATAATGTTAACAATTTAGACTTAAACAGGGGAAGTGTGCCAACATTCTGGATTCCTATATTCAGAGAATTTAAAAATCTAGCTCCTTGGAAACAAAACGTAAACTGTCCAATATTTGCTCTGCAATGAGGTATGTAAAAGGAGTTGCATTGTCTGGTGTAACATCAATGAATGCTACTAGAAAACAAAAATAATATTTTAGGAGAATCGGGAAAAAGGCCTATCTTGAACAAAACGTACTTTTTGATATAATTCTTACTACCGGCCAGACAAATGAAATTTAAAAACCTAACACAATGAAACGAGTACAGGGTTAATCACAGTATCAATCATTAAAATCCTGCCTTTCACTGGACCAAACAGCCCTTGACTGTAAGCACTCTGATGATACAGTACGGTTAACTAGTATGCCGCGATAAAAGAACCATTCTTATTGGTTCTTTAAGCGACAGACCGCTTTCGATTGGCGTTTTTTTAATATCGAAGGTGTTAAAGAATACGTGTGCTGAATTCATTCATTCTTCTTCAAACTAGAGCAATTTACTTGAAGTGACGAGTTCACTTAGTTCGGATGACATACTTACAATCTCCGATGGCCCATCTTACCGGCTGAGAAAACAATATCTCGGTATTACGTTTTATCATCGTATACTGCGCAATAAAACCCGTTGAATGATCAAAGATAGAAGAAAAAAGATAACAAATGTAACAGATACCAAAATTTTAAGAATAACAAGTTTGGTAAACAGTTATTAGATTCACTTGAACGATGACTGGTCTGACAAAGTAGACAGATATTAATTTTGTTGCTGAAAACAAATGCCGTGTAAAATCAATTCAGGGATATAGGACACTAAGAGTTATTTCACATGTTACAAAAATCATTGAATTTTTCGGAAATATAGGTAAACTCTAAAGTTTCTTTAAAGTTAGTCACTTTCAGGATATTCTGTTCACAGGACGTTCTGTTTTCCCTCAGCTTATTGTCTATGACTCGAAATAAACTAGAACCGCTAGGGATTTAACGAAGGCAGACACAAAAGTGTGGGTGTTCAACCTACTACGCGGTCGCCCTCAAGATCCACGCTCTTAGTTATGCTCGCTTTGCGCGCCCCCTCTGAACTGAAAATAAAATAAACGGCTGTAGACAGACTAGAGTTGGGCAAGATGATATACATTAGGTAACTTTTGTAAGCACGTTCGGAAATGTATTGAACATAACTCCCGAGATAGTAACCTGCGTTCAGCATTTTCTGCAGTTTTTCATTTCACGAACCTAAGCAACAACCGAGCCGATGTCAGGGCAGCGATCAGATATGTTTTGATTGCAAACATTGACAAAGTTATTCGGAAACTTAAAGCTGAAGTTTTGTCTCTGTAGAAAATGGGACAAGTAAGCATTGTGACGCTAAGGAGGTCGAAAAAATTCTGATTCCCCATGAGGAATCGAACCTCAGACCTTCGGATTCCGCGCCCTGAGTCCCCTTGTGGGGGCTCAGAATTTTTTTCTTTGCTCCACGCTCGTGATAAGACGAAAAACATCTTTCTTTACTTCTTTACCGAGCTCAAAACTTACCATCTCTCTAATTTCTAACTACAAAACTTAATTATGTTTTGAACAATCCTATTTGTGTTTTCTGTAAGGTCTAGAGTGATTGGGAAAGCACGCGCTTGACGCTTTCGACATTGCCGATCCTAGCAGTATGCAGGACGCGTTTCATATGAAC